TATGTTTTGGCTAGAGAATAAATTTTTTTCAGCTCAATTGTATGCCATTTTCATTGCTACTCCGAGAACTTTTGTTAGAACCCTCGTACAGTATAGTAATTCAAACCCTCATTACATATTCATGTGTCCAAAACACATCAAGAATACCTTTGCTTAAGTACTTTCATGCTGCTTCATAGCAACAAAATTCCTTTTACAGTCAATCCCACCTGACAGACCTCCTGCCTAAGGGATTTTTGCCTAACAGACTTCCTCTCAAGGCAGGTTTTCCTCCTGTCCAATAGGACAAAATCCACCTAACAGACTCTTTTTGGCTTAAATTTGTAGGTAACAAGTGAAACATTTTAATGTTTTAACAATTGAATTTGCGCAACCGACTTTTGACACAACAGACTAAAGGTGAAATTCAACCCTAATCCAATGCTGGGTAAGGGCCAAATTGCAAAGCGGTAAAATTGCAAGATAATTTCAAATTCAATGTTTTTTACATTGAATTTGACAGTTTGAGTCTCTCTGCAGATTGCATTGTGCGGCAAGAGGTCAAATTGCAAGTCAAAATCCACAAAATTCCACTGTTCAATTGTGTTACAGTCAAATTGTGGGATGCCAAACTGCAATGTACCACCTGTAGTCTGTGGCACAAATTAAGTTCATTGTGTAGGGGTTGATGGCGCACTTGATCAGCTAGAGCCACCATCAGTCCACTAGCAGCCAATGCATGGTAAACACTTACAATTGAAGATACTGTACGTCCAAAGTGGAAAGTACTGTACTTCATTTTGAACAATCATTGAGGACTTGTGTGAAGAAACCTGACTTTCAATAAAATCATAATTATTTTCAGTCAATGTAATTATAAAATATATATTTATTTAATTATTATATTGAATATTGTTAGTTATATTGTTAGTTATGACTAGAGTCATAAGGAATGCAATTTGGAAACTCACGTTTGCATTTGCGAAGGCAAGCACGGTCTGCACCTGGGCAACCAGCAGGGACTGAACTTGGTAGACAAACAGCAATGCCAGCCAATATTTGCAGCACAACAACGCCTCCTATATATGCATATGCAAACATTTTTAAATACGGACAAAATAAAAATATAACCAAATTATATACAGTTCGTTACAGTAGACAACTAGCTTTTGAGAAGAATAAAAAAATAATAAGTTGACAGCTACTCCTGTTTAAAATTCTTCAAATTGGTAGATTGCTATAGTAAATTATAACCTGCTGTTTCAAGTCTCACATTTGCTCACATCTGGGTGCAGTGAAACAGAGTTTCACAATTCCATTTGACCACTAAGGGGAATTTATTGAAAAAAGCTATTATAATATTTATGCTGATGAATGAAAAATTAGTCAACTGACCTCCTGTGTTTAAGTGGAAGTTTGATCATCAGCAACAGAAGATGCTAATTCCTCAATCATTTTCTACTTCTCAAAACAAAGTGTGAATTTTTTCAAAGTCCCTTTCTGAATTCCCTCAGAAACAAAGCATTTCAAAACCTCCATCCCTCCAAGGCTTTTCCTCCTCAAACCTCCATAGTTGAATTTTCTGACGACCTTTCAGCTATTACTTTATTGACACAGAGAAGAGAAAAAAAATAAGTAACCTGATGCATTTTGAAAAGATGTAAAACACTAATTTTGAAAATGAACCCCTTGCCTCCATACGAGTTCAGCATCCTGTCAACTCACGTAAGAAGCAATTTCAAGCCCAAAATATCACAAATTACAATTTCCTGCAATTATTCTTCTTTCTCTCCCTCATAACTTAAAATCTTATTAGGGCATATTTGTTCTCCTGGTCTTTTGAAGTTTGACTTGAAGAGGTTTCACTGTGCATGAAATGAATTTTTGAATAACTCCACACGAAAAAATTGGAGGAAGGGCAGGAATTACACACAAATAAACCAGCCTTTCGACATGTGAAAGAAAAGCGTGGATCTATAGCAGATACAGTATATGCATGCTACTAAAGCACAATAATAATTCATCACTGCAGCACACATTAAATAAAAACGTGTCGATTTTATGCATAAACCCGACAATGAAACGCACCCAGGAGCGATACCTTCATTTTTTTTCGTTCACCAGCACCTTCAACTCAATTTCTTCTTTCCTCTCACTGTACACAAAATAAAGTACAGTATATCTGACAAACCACACAGCAGCAGAATTAGAAAATAATAGGGAGTTTTAAAAATTCCGTCGACACTTGTGGTGGTGCTGCTGGTCCTTTGCAACCCGGTGTCCGTCATATTTGCTGACACTCGGTCCCAGCAAGTCCCATCCTTTTTTTAAATATATAAAAGGTTGCTNTTTTTTTTGTGAAATTTTTTAGGTGATTCTTTTCTTATCAATTGATGATCTATGCAGCAGCAGCAGCAGCAAGAGAAAGGTAATTTATGGAAACAAGCAATGGGTTGCCTTATTTGTTCTGCATCACTGAACATCAGTAAGAACTTTCATATTTGTTTGTGTACCATTTCAAAAGTGGAATTGCTGCCAGCAAGTTTCAGTAGGCATTTAAAAAAAATTACGATGAGATTCTGACATAAACAGATGACATTAAAACAGAAAATTATCCAACCAACATGTGGACAATATCTCAAGATACATGCACCTTCCCACCATTTCCAGAAATTGTGAAAAATTGTATTGCACCTTCAAATTTTGGTATATAAAAAATTTGAGCTACTCACATTCACAAAAAAATACAGTATTTAATCATAAAATGCATGCTGGAGATTTTCTTAGGTTAAATAAAAACCTTTTCACTCAGGTCAAAGGACACCAAATGGATAGGAAATATTTGACCTGTGGGCATCATAACTGAAGGAGTTGCTACTGGGGTGAAATGTTGCTAAGGTAAGAAAATGTCTGCACTGCTCATTCATAAGCTTTAAAGAGACTCATCCATTTCACACTTCAAAACACTGCAAGATAATTTTCATCTGATTGAAAGTTGAGCTTGATTTGGAAATACAACAGGATTTCAGACAGGTGAAATAAGAGCATAAACCAAACAAAACAAAAAGACTTATTTGTAATTTTGGAGAAACATGAGAACCTTTTAAATATATTAGCAATGAAGTCTAAGTGAAAATTAGACTTGACTCAAGAACATTCTGACAACAGGAAATTCTTGATGCACCAATTAGGTGTGGTGTGCATCTTTGGGTCTCACTGGATATCTTGAAGTTGGCTGAATATGAGTCATAGATATGTACTGACAGCCATATTGACCCATGAAATGAATTTGGCCAAAATTGCAGGCTGCAAATTTGAGGTGTTCAGTTTATTCCTGAGCGTGTGTGTGGTCCTCAAGTACGTATGCAAATTTCATCCCTGATTACCTCCTATATCCTGTGCATGATGATTTCATAACTCTGTAGTGAATCAGAAAAAAAATAAACTTTTCAAATTCAAGATCATACCACAGTTGTGTAAATTGTAAAGAATAACATGGCTTATCAGTCATAATATAAGATCTTCATCTGTAAAAAATTGCTACATATTTTCCTCAACACATGTGAGTCATGTTTTCTGACCGCCCCAGTTACTATAAAGTGCCCAAATAAAATTGCTATTTGAAATGCATTATGGGAAAAACTAAAGTTTTTGGCCTCACTGGACTGCTGGTGAGCAGCTGCCCCGAGTCTCCAAAATGGACCATGATGCTGAAGAAAAGACAACTCCTCCTTATGTAAGCTACAAAGTACAGGGTGAAGGGCCAGCTTATGTTCTTATCTACCAGCATATACACACCAGTTGAAGATAAGAATCCTCCCAGAAGTTCTTTTTGATCATCTAGTCTTTTCTCCTTCGAAGAAGGCAGATAAGGAGCCTTTGCGACAAAATGACAGGAACAATAATCTGAAATGGAGATGCATGAATCTTTCTGGCTCAATTCCGTCATGGCATGGAATCCCATGACTTTACTTAAAATATCTCCATCACCTGACTGCTAACTATAGTGAAAATCAAGCACCTTGAAAATTTCCTGAAGTGTTATTGTTTGTGACTTAAAGGGGGTTCTTTTTTTACACACCAAATAAAAAAATACTGTAGAAAAATATGAGTGAGAAGGACAGACTGGTGCCACAGTCTGGACAAGACCAGCAGGAAACCAGGTTCATCATCAGGGGTTTGGAAGCTGGCTCCAATTATGGGTCCTTGCCGAATCCCAATAATGCAGGTCGAACCAGAAACTTGCCAAAGTAAGTCACTGAATTAAACAACGCATGGTTTGCCATTTTTGTTTTAATTAATTTAAAATTCAATTTTTTTATTCAAAATGAAAATGCTTTACGGGTAACTGTAGAAATACAGTACTTCTATCATTTACTTTTGGATTTGGTTCAAGAA